TGTCTTTAACAGGTCCTCTTTAATTGCAGCATCACATGACAAACCACTTTCTGCTGGGATGCTCCCATATGTAGCTTGTATTTTAGAATGGTTTTATTGGGTTAGCAAAGCTTTTTAAAGTTTTGTCATTTTTAACTTGTTTTGTATTTATGAGCCAGATGTCAAAGATAAATCTCCATCTCGTGAAACCTTATGGACAATAAAGTTATATTGATTGATTATTGATCGAGAGGTTTCTGCTGATGGGCTCTACTTGTTTGCCCACCATACATGCCGCTGTGCATTATGGGTAAACAGCTCTACTTGTGTACACAGGTTATTGTTCCAGAAGTCTCCCGTTTGATTCAGATGCAACTTTGCCAAACCTTCAGTACTTCCATCGATCCATTTTCTTTCCAAGTTTTTCTGTACAGGGTCACAGGGAGCCGGTCTCCAGAGGTCAACAAGTCTTCTCAATAACTTCTGGAGTAGGAGGCGTTTCCCAAAATCAACACACAGATGTTCTGTTTGGTGAAAATGTTGGTGAACACAGACTGTTGAAACTCTGATCACTGTCTCACCAGCATCACAAAGTAGAGTTATGAAGTCATAATGAGCAGCAGCTGTCAATCATTCTTGTAGAGACAGATAACATACATGTTCCAGAATATAATAAAGAATTATTTCACAATGAATTTATCTTTTTTCTTTATCTTGCAGCAGTCCCAGCTGAATGCAGGCAGCTTAAAAACATAACTTTGTTTTCTCTAACTACAGACAAGGTCATGAAATCTGATCGATGTCAAAAGCATCATATTGTGAACATTTGAATAAGACAGTTTTAACTTTATGACTGTTTTATCCTCCCAGGCTCTCATCGAGGTGGCAGCTTCTGTTTTTTCCTCCCCCGTTTTTCCTTCCTCCTGCTCTGCTCTCTGTCTGACTGAAGCACCTGGGTCTCATCTCCCGAACATAAATTAAGAAGATTATGGATTTGGTATCGTGGGCGTTCAACTCTAGTGATAAGATTTTTTCATCAAAGCGACAAGGTCCTGGAGAACCGGCATGTCCAGCTGAGACTCACGCTGTGGCGTACGTCATGGATTCGTGGGGAGTGTGGCAGATGATGTGTCTCTCAGTTCTGTCTCAGGAGGATGTTGAAGACGTTTATATATTAGGAATTATGATAGCAGGGACTCTGCTTTTTGGCATCAGCAGAGCTCTGTTTTATAGACTTTTGAAGAAGACATCAGCAGCAGTTTCGGCCATGGTAAAGCTTCTGAGTCAGTGTGAAGGTCTGGTCCTCACTGTGGGAACTTTAAATCGTCTGGTCTACGAGCTTAACCGTAAGGTGGAGGCGTTTGAGAATCGCAGGCCACCTGCGGCTTCTGGGACTCGTCAGCGTGGTGGGTTTGACCTTGAAGGAGACTCATAGCATGGATCAGTGGAATGGAATCCCACAATTAGGCATTTTCAGAACCAGAACGCCCAGATGGACTCAAGGCTGAAGAAAAAAGTAATCTGTCTGCCTGAAGGAAAACAAGAATCAAGCTTATCTGAATCTGACTCCTGACGGCCTCGGAGATGGGCCGACTACCAATTTCTCCTGGGACATGAGTACCCAAGGACAAAAGCTTCATCTATCGCAACCCCCCCACCCCCTTCAGATTCATGTTCCTCAGGGGAAAATCAACCACTTAATCTTTTCAAAACACACTGCCTGGCCCCCCAAAAAAGTCACCACCATAAGAAAAGATCACATTCTAATATTTGGTTGGATCACCTTTAACTTTGATCACATCATTCATTCTCTGTGTCATTGTTTCAATAAACTTCTTCAACGTCACAAGATCTATTTTCATCCAGTGTTGCATTAATGTTGCACTAAGATCTTTCATTGATGACGAGACACTGGTCATGATGGTGCATCACTTCACCTGCCTCTCTTCTTACCCTGATGCACCATCACTCTGGAACAGGGTCAATCTGGACTCATCAGACCACATGACCTTCTTCCATTGCTCCACAGTCCAATCTTTATGCTCCCTAGCAAAATGAAGCCTTTTTTCCCAGTTAGCCTCATTGGTTAGTGGTTTTCTTAAGGCTACATCTGTTCAGTCCCAGTCCCTTGAGTTCCTTCACATTGTGTGTGGAAATGTTCTTACTGTCTCTATGAACCACAGCCCTGAGTGCTGCTGGTGTTTTTCTTCCATTTAATTTCACCAAACATTTAAGTGATCGTCGATCACGATCATTCAGGATTTTTTTCCGGCCACATTTCTTCCTGGAAGACGATGGGTCCCCACTGTCCTTCCAGTTTTTAATAATGTGTTGGACAGTTCTTAACCCAGTTTTAGTAGTTTCTACAATCTCCTGAAATGTTTCCTCTGCTTGATGCCAATGATTTGATCTTTCTCAAACAGACTGACATCTTTTCCACGACCACTTGATGTGTCTTTCATCATGTTGTTGAAGAAATGAGAAGCAACTCATTGCACCAGTTGGAGTTAAAGAACTTGTTGCCAGCCTTGTTGGACAGGTTGCCATTCAAACCCATGTCATGCTTCCATTTTCTTTTGAGGAAAAAAACTTTCCCTGCAACCTTCAAAACAAACCATACTTGTTCAGTCTTTCTAATAGTCTTGTAATTGGATATGTAACGATCCGATACCAATATCGGTACCGATGTTGAAAAAACTTCTGGATCAGGTATCGTGACAATGTAACCGATCCATGACTGGGCAGATCTATTCACTCTAAAGGCTCCAGTGTACTGCTGCGTACGTCCGTTCACGCGTGCGTACGTACGCGTGTACTGTACGCAGAGGGTTCAGACATGATAGTCCAGCGTCCACCCTGAGCAGCTGCAGAGCAGCGTCACAGACAAGGGGCGTTTACCTTCGGGACAAATTGAGGTCTCTGATAGGTCATTTGCTGACACGCCTACTGGATTGATTGAAAGGTCAGGGAAAAAAAAGCGAGCGCTGGCAGCCTCAGCCACAGCGGTGTTCTGTGTTTATATGTTGTTAATAAAAAGATCAAAAAAAAAAAGAGAGCGCTGGCTCTACAGCCCACACATCAGACCAGCCCACCAGGAAATCTCCAGACCCTCCTGCAGCCACGCTAGACCTGAGTTTAATTCGCTCGTGACAAATTCCTTCATTTCTCACCATTTCAGTCATGGCATCAACAGAGGAGGAAGAGATCTCTGCCTCTTGGCAAAAAAAAAACAAAAGAAAAGGCCAGATCAGAGATGAAGAAGAGGAATTTAATACATTGGTGTCGCATACAAAACAGTCCGTCGCTGGGCAGTTTATTGTGCGACACCGCGTACACGTCAGCGGTCGTAAAAATTTGAAATTTGCACGAAGGGTATGCTGGGGGGTACGCACGTACCTCTGCGTATGGATGTACGCGGCAGTATACTGGGGGCTTTACTCTCTAACTTTGTGCTCTGAGTGACAGCACGTGCTAGCGTACTGACTGAAAGTAACTGGAACTAAATCAAAGTTGTGTTGTTTTTACATGTTTGACCGGGTGTGTGAATCTCTTGGTGTGTTTAATGTTCTGTTGTGGTGCAGTTTTCAATAAATGTGTAATTCAGTACATTCATGACTGCGTTTAACAAAACAAATGTTTTAAGTTAATTCAGCTCTGGGTTTGTAAACTTAAACATCGAGGTAGAAAACAAAAATGGCTGAATCATCTCATCTGGACCCGTTTCTGAAACGGGTCCAGATGAGATGATTCAGCCATTTTTGTTCATTCAGAACAGTTTCTTGGGATCGGATCGGTATCGACCGATGACAAACAGCAGATATCTGTATCGGATCGGAAGTGGAAAAAAGTGGATCGTGCATCCCTACATGTAATGACCTTTACTCTTTAACCTACTAACTAAAGCTGCAAACTAACTCTTGTTGGAGCTGTCGCTCTTGTGTTTTGTCATTTGTGAGCATTGCACAGTCTGTCCTTGGGGTGAACTGACTGTGACATCCACTCCTGGGGAAACTAGCAGCTGTTCTAAAATGTTTACCTGAGAATAATATTTGTAAATGTAAAATGATGGACTCCAAATAGTTTGCAAACCTTTAACAATTTGATGATTGATGAGCAGCAACAGCTGCTTCTATACAGTCAAAGCTGATTTCTTTCCAGCTTGGCATTGTGCTGAACGCTCCAGACTAGTAAACTGACACAAGTCCTGCTTCATAGAGATTGATGGTATTCAATGCATTTGATCAGCAGCACCTGGCTGATACTGACCCTCTTAAATGATGTTGAAGCAGCACAAGCAGGTTTGGTTTTGTACTCTGAACTTTTCCAGTTTGGGCTTTGTTGTTGTGCACACGAGGTTAAATTTGAATCATTTAGAACCTGAACAGGCTGGACTCTCTCTTTTCTGTGACTTTACAACATCAAGTCTGGTAATTCTACATCAGAAAAAATGTTCTTATCCCAAATGCTGAGAGAAAAGGCCCTGAGAAACGAGCAGCTGTAAAAACACCGGAGCGTTGCAAATTATCTTAGGATTTATGTAAAAAGATAAGAAAATAAAAACGTGCTGCTTTTAGTGTCTACTTGAACTCAATGTTCTGTGAAAGATACACACGACAGAATGTGTTTTACTCAGTAGTTGTACATCTTACTGGTCAGTTCAAACAAACAGTCCTCAGTCTCTCATGAACTTTGTGTTCTCATGCTGGAAAAAAGAATAAAACATTTTAAAGTAAGGAAACTAAAGTAGATGCAGGACACTGAAATATGTCAAGTCAAGCTTTATTGTCAGCTTTCCTTGTGTGCTACACTTACAGAAAATCCAAATGGACGGAGCTCATTTCTGTTTTTGTGTTGATTTCCAGCAGTTTCCTTCAGATACGATGGCAGCTGGTTTTTACTAACTCCAGCTCTTTTGTACATTGAACACAGAAGAGGACATTTTGAGCAGCTCAAAGCTCCACCGTTGTATTGTCTGATTCCCTGCTATTTGATTTTCAATCACTTGTCAAAGTTTCACTCACTTGTTGACCGGGGCCCTGGACCGCCGCCGGGTGCCCCATAGCTGCCTCTGGTAGGTGGCGAGCAGGAGTGCAGAGGTGATGAAGAGCAGCAGCAGAAGGATCAGCCTCTGTCTGGTGGCACAGTTCAGAGACAGCAGGGACACGCTGCAGTACCACGAGGCCGGCAGGCAGGACACAGTAATCCTGTGCAAAACAAACCCATAAAGAACTGAGTGGAGTGGCTGAGGCAGCATGCACATCAAAAAACACTATCACACAACGGCACAGTGATATCGTTTTATCCAGTAGATTTGTAAAATTAGCTAAATATCTCATGAACCACTGGATTAAAAACTCTCAGAAATTAAATACTGGCTGTACATCTACAACGGATTAATTTTACGAGATGTCCACCACAGCTAATATACCTTAACCTACACCAAAGTGTCTATACCTTAGAGAATTGTACGGATAATAACCTAAAACTTTGTGTGGTAGGAGCTGAGGACCATTTGAAATACGTGCTCCAAGCACTGACACAACACAGTCCAGGATTACTGGACTGTATCGCCAAGCTACTCACCATCTCTCATCCTTACATGATCTTAGTTACAATGTGTGGGATGAAAGCAGCGGGTGATAAGCATTCCTTCCAGGGATGTTCTGTATTGAACTGTGAATAATGTTATTACCTGGCCATGTGTGTCAGTCAGCCAAAGAGCAGGACGTGTCGATCATGGTGTCACAGTCTCTCCTGGATCCACAGCTTCACTTTCCTGAGCCCAAGAAAGAAAACCATCCGACCTGCTGCCCTCTCTTAAAGCACTCAACATCAGGATTATCCTCCAGACAAACACATAATAAATGTTCATTTCTAGGATGTACACTTTGCAAAATAAAAAAGCTAAAGAAAAGTTTAGTCTTAGCCATTTTCTTCAATAAGGTCACCATAAGTGGTTTATCTGTCTGTTATATAATTGTTGCGAAAGGAAAAATGTATGTCAAACAAACAAACAAACAGATAATATTGTCTTGTTTCTTGGTATTTCCATGTGTAACCGCTGAGTTTCGGCTAACATAAGAACTGATTATTATGCTAACACGACCTCTCATATCAACTTACCTAAAGACGCGTTTCCTCTGCCATGACAGTAAGGTCAAAAATAAAATTACATTTATCTTTTCCAAATTAAATGTAAATATAAAACGGTAATCTTCTCGCTACACTTCACAGGAACGGTTTTAAAAGACGACGACGAGCCGAAGACCAGGAAACAACCCGAACATCTTCTCCAGGGCGTCCGATGACGTCATCAATCCACGCGGCTGCTGCCTTTAGAAGCCGTAAGAATATTCTAGTTCATGTTATATGCAAGTGTTTTTAATCACAATTTTAGATGGTTTGAATTTATGTTTTACTGTTTTATATAAATATAAATATGTTGATAAAATATTAAGAAAAATACTGCTAAAACACCTCTATTAGTTTAAAAATTGACGATAGTTATCAGATGACCTACATTTTATCTGAACCTGAATGTATCTTACGTAAAGATACTGTAGCTTCACAGACACAAAGTTTGTTTTCTCAGTCATCCAGGTATATAACAACAAAAAAGGTTGAATCATGTCATCTGGACTTCGTTTTTTTGTTAAAAAGAAACGTTTCTGGGTAATACCAGATGGCTAGGCCTCAGACTGACGAAGCCTCTTGGATGAGGGGCGAAACGTTTCTTTTTAACAAAAAAACGAAGTCCAGATGACATGATTCAACCTTTTTTATTGTAGCTTCACAGGTTTGGCGCGTTAAAAGTGACAACATTAAATAAATACGTCATGAAAAAAGTTACATTATATAAACACATTTATGATTAAAAAAATGTACAATTAAATGTCCCTTTAAATCATTAAATGTATCATTTAAATCATTAAATGTATCATTTAAATATTTAATACATCATTAAATTATGAAATTCCCAATTAAATAATTAAATTTACCATTATTAATTAAATGTACTTTTTAAATAATTAAATGAATAAAGTACTTAAATGTCATTATCAAGAAAAATTTCATTTAGAAATACATGTAATGATTTGGCTCTGTATTTATTTATTTTGTGGCTCCTTATCCATGGCTCAGTGCAGCAGTGTCATCATGAAATTATGTAAACTGTCAATCAGTCAGACCCATTAAACTCAGTGGGTGAGACTAGTGTGGCTCATTGACAGACCCACAGCAAGTCAAGACAAACTGACTACAGACTGACGGGCAGCCAGAAAACACATTCCAAAACATTAGGGCAATAATAGTCTTAAAGTAGATTTAGAAAACTACTTTCATGAAACAACTTGGAAACTCTATAGAACTAAATGAAGGAAATATGAAAATGCTGTGCAGAGCTGCTATGAGAAACAAGAAATGTAATCAAAGTCAATCTGAGGCAGAATGCACAGAGTCAGACTGCAGTCGGAATGATGTCATTGATGTCTTGATGACTTTCCTACACTTCCGTACTTTCCATTTTCCTGCTTGGTGGAAGTTGTAAAAATGATGGATGACCACAGCATCAAGCCTGTGAGGTTCTCGCTGTTTCAGAGTATAAAATGCTACCAAACAAATATGCCATCCATTTAAAGGACATGTTGGAGGAGGAGGAAGGCACAGATGTCTGGCTGCTCATATCATCACAGTCCCTGTGACCCACATCTTCAATCTCTCCATAAGACAAAACTCCATCCCAGACACTTGAAAACAGCCTTTGTTCTTCCTTTGCTGAAGGGAGGAGACCCCACCTCACTGAACAACTATGGACCAATCTCTAAACTCTGCATTTTAGCCAAGGTTCATCACTGATGCATCCATACATTTCTTTGCTGATGACACAGTTGTTTATTGTCGAGCTAAAACTGTTGCTAAGGCTTTCCAGCTTTTGAAATCTGCATTCAACATCATCCAGACTGATTTGTTCCACCTCAAACTTGTCCTAAATGCCGACAAAACCAAAGGGATGCTTTTTTCAAATAGGAAGTTGGTCCCAGCAGTTCTTCCTCTGATTTTATCCTCAAATGGTGTCCCCATTGAGTTTGTTGATTCCTATAAATATTTGGGTATCTTGGTCGACTCACATCTTTCTTTTAAGCTCCATGTGGAAAACTTGATAAAGAAACTGAAAGTTAAACTGAGTTTCTTTTTCAGAAACAGATCCGGTCTATTTCTGAATGCTAGAAAACACCTTGTATCTGTGACTTTCCTTCCCTCCATTGATTACGGTGACATTATTTACATGAACGCTCCTACAAGAACCCTGCAGATGTTGGATGCTGCAGATGTCGGATGCTGTCTATCATGGTGCACTAAGATTCATAACTGGCTGTGATTATCGTACCCACCACTGCACCCAGTATCCACTGGTTAACTGGACATCATTAACTTCACGCAGACTCTCTCACTGGTACATTTTCATCTTTAAATCACTTCTTGGTCTGCTGCCTTCATACATCTCCTCCTACATGTCTCTGTGTGAGTGCAGCTACAGCGTGCGCTCTCAGGACATCATTACCTGCAGTGTTCCCTCAGTGAGGACTGAACTAGGCAAAAGGGCCTTCTCCTACTCCGCTCCTGTTTCCTGGAACATCTTACAAAACTATTTGAAGCTCTCGACCTTTGACCTCTCTAAGTGTCTTTAAGAATCTGTTGGACACCTGGCAGGGTCCAATGCTGACATGTTCCTGTTGTTAGTTTTCTACATTTGTCTTGGAATCTAGCTGTTTTTTCTTTTGTTTTGTTTTGCTACCTTTTCCTTTTAGCCATCCTATTTGTTTAAAAAAAACAAAAAAAACTGTAGTATGCTTTTTTATAACTGTTTGTTGTTGTTGTTGCCCATTGTTGTCATCTTTCTTTGTTGAAATCAGGTCTCTCTTGTAAATGAGTCCTCGAGGCTCAATGGGATTTACCTGTATAAATAAAGGTTGATTGATTGAAACGGTTTCTGTGCACTTACCTGTTAATATTAGGAAGCCTTTTAGTTGACGATTAGGTTAGCCGGATGCTAACTCGCTCCGGGGAAGTTTCGCGGGTTTTGGTAGTGGAAAGACCGCGAAAGCCTACTACTCCGGTTTTAGGAGTTTTATTTTGTTTTGTTTGAATAATATTCTGTGCTATATTAAGTTCGATGTTTGTTGTAGATCTTGTAATCACATTTTAATCAGTATTAAGTTAAAACCCTGTGTACATTTTGATGTTTACACTGGTTCATGTGCAGTTGAATGTGGTAAAACTGTAAAGCAGTGACTGATCCTGTGTAATGCGTTATACCTTTGTCGTCTTCATTTCAATGTGGGACTGTAATGTAAAATGGAGAGTAGGTTAATGTGTTGAAAGAAATTTACTTTGGAAAAGTAATTGATTTATGGAAACAGTAATATCAAACATGAGTATTGTACACTGTTAAAGGTTTGTTGGTTAACAAATAAATGAGACGCCATCTGGACAAGAAAGACAGCGCTCCGATTATTATTGCTGTTTCCTATTTTGTCATTCTTCAGGTTGCGCTCATCACTGTTGCAGCCATCCTGACACTCGGGACCTGTAACACAGACATGTTCCTGTTTTTAGTTTTCTACATTCACCTTAGAATCTAGCTGTTTTTTGTTACTTTTCTTTTCTTTTTACTTTTTTTTTTTAGCCATCCTATTTGTTAAAAAAAAAAGTATGACTTTTTATAACTGTTTATTGTTGTTGCTGTTGTCCATTGTTGTCATCATTCTTTGTTGAAATCTTTGTTGTAAATGAGTCCTCGGGACTCAATGGGATTTACCTGTCTAAATAAAGGTTGAATGAATGTATCGTTGTTGTTGTTGTTGCTGTTTTTTCCTTGTTTCTTTGTCCAAAAAGCACCGTTATTATTCAGTTTGTCATTTCTATTAGTGGACACGTAGCACAACCATAAATAGACTGCAGATTTATGATGTAATGTTGCATATTTACTTTATTCTTTACTTTAACACACCTTCTGTCTAACTTAGGATTAGTAGCACAACAGTAAGTTATGGAGGGGACAGAGCTTCTTCTGTCGCTGCTCCAAAATTATGGAACAATCTCCCTCTCCCCATCAGTGAGCCCCTTCACTGTCCACTTTGAAAACTCTTTTAAAAACACATTTTTATTGCCTGGTTTTTGGCACAGCCTGAGACTTACTGTTGCTTATTGTTACTGCTCTTTGATTGGTCTTACTGTTTGAACACGCCTTCTGTCTAACTAGCACAATCACCTTTTGTGCGGGAGACCTGAGTTCTTAACACATCTAATGTAATTATGAATGCAATTTTCTTGTGACCGTTGCAAAAAAAACTTTTGGTGAAAAAAAAAGAAAAACATTTATAATTTTGATCTGTAGTGAAAATTAATTAAATGATTCTTGTTGGGATGTATAAATAAAGTAAAAGTAGCAGTACATTCCAACATTTTTCAGTCAGGTCATCTGGACAGTTTCTTTTTTTTTGTGCTGAAACGTTTCGCCTTCGATCCGGAAGGCTTCATCAGTCAAAGAGACCATCTAATCGCAAGCAGAACTTGTTTGTTTCACCTCATCCACAGTGTCACTGAACTCATCTGAACCACAGAAAACCAACCAGTTAACATTGTTGTTTTATTAACTTCACAGTTGTTTCAGTTTCTGGTACTTACTGTTGTGGTGAGCAGCTCTCTGGGTTCTACTAGTTCTTTCACTGATATAGCCTCAGGTGATCAGAATCAGTTTTATTATCATTGTACCAAGATACAGAGAGAATATGTCCGTACAGTCGTCCGAAATATGGGCGGAGTGCACGTAGCTGCTGCTCTTTGAGAGCACGGCCTCTTCTCCTTTTCAGAATACTTTTTTTGATAGAAAAGACAAAGCCAAGAGGAGAGGATAGTGGCATTACAAAAAAAAGTTCTCTTCACACCTTGTCCTATCAGGACATGATTTAAAACATCAACAAACTCTGCTAGCTTCACATTTATGAACATGTTACATATACATTTAACGACAAGGTGGACCATGAAGCACTAACAGACAGTCCATTTAAGATGATGGTCGGCCGGCACTGTTCTGATAAGCCTCCACAGAAGTTCTCGCGGGGGCGGGTGGGGGTGGGGGGGTGATAGACGAAGTTTTAAGTCCGCCTGTTTTCGAAGCCGGACAGCACGGTGACGCAACTGGTAGAGCTGCTGCCTCTCAGCAAGCAGGTTCCTGGTTCAAATCCCAGTCAGGGGGCCTTTCTGGGTCGAGTTTGCATGTTTTCTCCGTGCATGCGTGAGTTTCC